ATGTAACCCTAATCTCCCAAATTACTTAGGAAGGCTAAGGCAGGAGAAACGCTTGAACCAGGAAAGGTGGAAGGTGGCAGTGGAGCCAAGATCATGCCATCACACAACTCCAGCCTGGGCGACAAAAAGTGAAAACTATCTCAGTAAAATAAAGTAACAAAAAGTAAAAAAATAAAATAATGAAAACAAACACCTAAGGTAATATAACTATATATTATATTTTTTTTTTTTTTTGACAGACAGAGTCTCGCCTCTGTTCACCAAAGGCTACGAAGTGGCAGTGGCCGGATCTCAGCTCAACTGCAGCTCCCCTCCCAGCTTCGCGCCATTCTCCTGCCTCTAGTCTCCGAGTAGCTGGGACTAACCAGGCGCCCGCCAAACCTCGCCCGGCTAGTTTTTTGGTATACTTTATTTTAGTAAGAGACGGGGGTTTCCACGGTGTTAGCCAAGATTGGGTCTCGATCTCCTGCGACCCTCCGTGATGTCCACCCCGTCTCCGGCCTCTCCAAAGTGCTGGGCATTACAAGGGCTTGAGCCAACCGCGCCGGGCCTCTCCTAAGGTATATTCTGAGAAAGGATATGTTTAGTAGAAAAAAAAAAGTACTTATTAACTTATAGAATTAAAAACAATTCCAGAGCTAGCAATCCTAGGTTCCTTAAATGAAAAGAACCGGGGGGGGGGGGGGGTCAACAGAGGGGAGGGCACAGGCAGACAGATAGTGTATATGACATGGATACACTGGAAAAGGGACAATTTATGCCCTAGGGAGGACACAGCAAGATTTCACCATGCTACTCAGAAAAGCAGCACAATTTAAAACTGATGAATTGTTTATTTCTGGAATTTTCCATTTAATACTTTTAGACTACGGCTGATCTTCGGTAACTGAAACCGGGGAAAGTGAAACCACAGATAAGGGGGGGCTTATGGTTTAAACATGCCTTTATCTGGTGAATTTTAAAACTGTCCCTACTGACTAGTTTTCATTTATAGTTCTGAATAGAGTATTTTAGAAATTACTCCATCTAGAAAGAACTACAAATTCAACTACCCTTATGAATAAAATAAGCAAGTTCTCATTATTCTTAAAAATCAGATTTTTAAGAGCTGAAATGGAAATTTACTATATTTATCAATTTGATGAATATTTTTTCTTAAGTAAAAACGTAAGTTTTTATTTATTCATGCTATAGGTCTCTCAAATATATCGCTCTTCAGGAGAAAATTTTTTTAATATCAACTCTCATTTTTCTTTTCTGAGACAGGGTCTCACTCTCATGCCTAGGCTGGAATGTAGTGGCACAATCATGGCATCACAGCTCATAGTTTCCTTAACCTCCTGGGTTTAAGCGATCCTCCCACCTTGGTCTCCCTAGTAGCTAGGACTACAGACACGTATCACCACACTTGGCTAATTTTTGTACTTTTTGTAGACAAGGTTTCACCATGTTGCCCAGGCTGGTCTCAAACTCCTGAGCTCAAGTGATCCCCACCTCCTCAGCCTCCTCAACATTTTTGGGTTTTTTTTGAGACAGGGTCTCACTCTGTTGCCCAGGCTGGAGTACAGTGGCACCATTATGGCTCACTGCAGCCTCAACCTCCCAGGCTCAAACAATCCTCCCATCTCAGCCTCCTGCGTAGCTAAGACAAGAGGTACACACCATCACACCCAGCTAAATTTGTGTGTGTGTGTCTGTGTGTGGTAGAGATGGGATCTCTGTGTGTGTGAGTGTGTGTGTGTGTATGTGTGTGTGGTAGAGATGGAGTCTTTCTATGTTGCCCCGGCTGGTCCCCAACTCCTGGACTCAAGCAATCCTCCCACTTCGGCCTCCCAAAGTGTTTGGATTACAGGGGTGAGCCACTGCAACATGCCTTATTTTTTTTTTTTTTAATCTCTCATCTGAAAAGAAATTATTCTCTACACTTAAAAAAGAATGCGGTGCACACAGAAATGCAATAGTTAAATAAAGTTGTCTTAACCCCAAAGTCAGTTATTTGTGTTTCTTGGTAAAAGCAAATGAAAACAGTAATATACCTAGCCAGAGGGGAGCGAAATGCTGCAGCTGGGGTGGGAAAATCCATGGTCCTTGTCTCAAGAACTGGTTTTCCTGGTATAAACTTTAAGCTGTTGGGATTTGGAGTATCCTGTGTTTGAATAAACATGTATCTCACTAAAAAAAGGAAAAAGAAAATGTTATTCTAGAAAAAAACAGTTAACAAGTTTATAGACTAGGACGTGCTCATTTGCACAGAACCAGAAGAAATAAGAAAAACTGGGGAAAAACCCAAGATTTTATTGCCCTGACAAAGCATTTATAAAGATAAGAAGGAAATATATTAATATATAGCCGAGCACAGTGGCTCACACCTGTAATCCCAGCACATTGGGAGGCCGAGGCGGGTGGATCACGAGGTCAGGAGTTCAAGAAATTCCTAGACTCAAACGATCCTCCCACCTCAGCCTTCCAAAGTGTTGGGATTAGAGCGTGAGCGCTGTGCCCAGCCAATACTCTGATTATTTAAATAGTTATGTAATGAAACAGATTCCAGAAATAGTCTACACTTAAGTCTTATATATATTCATAATTCAGGAGTCCTATACATATTCTATTTGGTGACTTTGTACCAATGGCTATCATAACCATAGACCACTTACTGCTGACATTAATACAGTAAAATGCTACATTCTCTTCTTTCCAAAGTGCCACCATTATTTTAAAGACAATAAAGTTAGCAATTTATAATAGTAATAATAAATATTTATTGTGTGCTTATTATATGCCAAATACAGAGTCAAAGGCGGTTTTGTTTGTTTTTTTCTTTTTTTGAGGTGGAGTCTCACTCTGTCGCCCAGGCTGGAGTGCATGATCTCGGCTCACTGCAAGCTCCGCCACTTCCTCCCCTGCCTCAGCCTCCTGATAGCCTGGGACTCACGGCGCCCGCCCACCATCGCCCAGCTTAATCTTATTTCTGTATTTTTAGTAGCAGATGGGGCCTTTCACCGTGGATCTCGACTCTTCCTGACCCCTTGGTGACTCCCGCCCACGCCTCGGCTCCTCCCCAAAGTGCTGGGACTTCACAAGGCGTGAGCCCCACCCCCGCGCCCTGGCAATTTTTTTTTTTTGTAAACTGGGTTTCACATGTCCGGCCAGCGCTAGCTCTCAACACCCTCACCCCTCGCACCGCTGCACTCACCCCCACCTACTCAGCCTCCCGAAAGTTCTGGCGATTCCACAGGAGTCCGAGCCCACCGTCGCCTGGCCCACAGTGCTTTATGCCATTCTATGCCCTTTAACAACCCTGTAAACGAAGGACACCCCTCTCACTCTCATTTTACCACACATGAAGAACCGGAGGCATAGTAAGCCCTCAACACTCACACACACACACCCACAACCATAAGCAGAATCTATGCAAATTACTCGTCCTGGGCATACTTTAAACCTATAATCTTTCTTGTTTCGACGACCAAGGTCTCACATTGTACCCACCAAGCGAGAAGTGCAGTCGGCAGCAACTTGGGCCTCACTACAACCTCTCGCTTCCGATTCAACGCGATTCTCATGCTCACGCTTCCAAGTAAGCCTGGAACTACTAGGTGTCGCACCACCACAGCGCAGCCAGTTTTGTTAATTTTCTTTGTAGAGGTGGCGGTTTCACCACTGTTGGCCAGGCCTGGTCTCGCACCCTCTGGGCCTCAAGCTGATCCACCCCACCTCCGGCGTCCCCAAAGTGGCTAGGAATAAAAGGCGTGAGCACTGTGCCGCTGGCTAAAAGATATCTTTTTAAAACAGACTCTCCTTTTTCGAGATGGAGTCCTCAACTTTGGCACCCAGCGCTTGGAGTGGCAGTGGGCGTGATCTCAAGCTTCACCTGCAACCTCTGCCTCCCGGGCTTTCAAGCAATTCTCCCTGACTCAGCCCTCCTGAGTAGCTGAGATTAACCACATGTTACCCCACCATGCCCCGGCTAAGTCTATTGGTATCTTTTAATAGAGACGAGTTTCCCACCATGTTGGCCAGGCTCTAAATCATCAAAATCCTGACCCTCAAGCGCTGAATCCACCCCGCACCTTCGGCCCTCCCGCCCAAAATGCTGGGGATCTACAGGCATGCAGCCCACTCGTGCCCGCCCGACACTCTCCTTCTCTTACACACTCCCCCCTCTTTTTTCCCTACGCGCACCACCTCCGATCTACCGACTCCGGAGAATTGATTCACTAAACAACCCTTACCCAGAGACTCACCCCACCCACCAATATTTACCCACTC